AACAATAGACAAGAATATGGGCTGAATATTTACATCAGGTAGATATAATCCCTGGACTGAGCAATCATGGGAGAAAAGAAGGGCAGTGTTTGAACGGGGAGACAGCTCAGAGGGCGGGAGTGCATGGGTGGGAAGGACACAAGGAAGAGGTAACTATGGGGAGGAAGTAAGAAGAGAGCTGATACATTGGTGGGAATTGCAGTCAATGTCATGAAACAAAATGTGTATGAATTGCTGTATAGAAAGTGAATTTGCTCTTAAACTTTCACCCAAATCACAATAAAAATTAAAAAAACAAAAACAAAAGCCCTGAAACTGAAACTAAATAATGCTGTTGTCCATCAGATGCCAACCAGCAGGCACCTTACAAGTTCAAACTAGGTATATCTCTGAATACCTAAGGTTAGGAACTTTGATGTTGGAAAATCAGAAGAAATTGTTTAAATAAAATAGCATATTCCTCATGACATTCTTAGTTTTTTCAAACATCATAAACTATAGGAGATATAAAGGATTTCTTTCTGCCAGGTTAATGATCTTTGGGTTTTGACTTGATCAAGCTCATTGATATACGTGTATTTACCTGAATGACCATGGGCAGGTTATTTTACTCTGCTGTGTCTCAGTTTGCTTACCTGTAAACTGAAGATTAAAAATAGGACATACTTTATAGGGTTGTTGTGAGGATAAAGTGCAATGTACTTAATAAAATGCCCTGAACATACCTGTGTCCAGTAATTGTGAGCCATTGTTATCAGTAAGCACATGGCTCAAAAATGAATTCACCTGTCAGCCTTCTTCCTCATGGGCCAGCTTCACCCCTCTGTGTGGTTCATCTGTGTTGGTTCTGGAAGAAGATGAGAAGACCCAGAATGGAGAGGGGAACAGTGAGAGAAGGAGACAGAGAAGACTAGAAGTACCAAGCCCACCTTAGCAAAAAGAACCCCGAATGCTCTGAGCTGTACAGTGGGATGCAGATGAGCATGTAGCTGTGAGGATTCTGGACACAGTATTCACTGAAATGGCCCTCCTCTCCTTCATGTTTGATGTATGATGATATGGCTACTTTACCAAGTGCAGCCTTTATTGCAATTCTAAACTTCTAAATCGGGCTGATTTTTTGCATTGGGAAACACCATCATTCTATGCAGTCACTTAAGAAAAAAATTGTACGGGAAGGGAGCTTGGTTCTATCCTTTCAAGTGAGGGATGCTAACAGAAGTGCCTACTCATTTCAGGACAAGCCACTAGAGGTCACATTTCAAAGGGAGGCAGGAAGCATCTGAAAAGTAATGGGCTCTGTTTGTTTCCAAAAACTGATCCTGGGTCCTTTAAAATAGGGTTTTGTTCCCTCTCATAAGACCTTCAGGTTAGCAGTTTTTGGTCTGGTTATGTCACAAAAACTGTGAAGACAATATAATGACATAATAAAAGGGGAAAATGGAAAAATAATCCATCATAATCTCATCACCCCAACCCATTAATTATTCTGTGGTGAAATAATGTACTCAACTATCAACAAGTTGCTCATCAGTAAATTAAGTAAATTCTTGTTAAATGTTAGTAGAATTTTTAAGTGTATGATGAACATTGATAGAATTGAAGCTTTACAGCATAAGAAACCATGTCTGTTTAACTTAATCCTGGATACTCACAGCCTGGTATATTCCACCCAGCACCCTGCAACCCAACCCACTGAGTTGATTCTGACTCACAGTGACCCATAGGACAGAGCAGAAATACTCCATAGGGTTTTCATGGCTGTAAATTTTTTTGGAAGCAGACTGACAAATCTTTCTCTTGCAGAGCAGCTGATGGGTTTGAACTGCCAAACTTTTTGGTTAGCAGCTTAATGCTTAACCACCATGCCACCAGGGTTCCTTTTCCATGCAACACAAGGGTAGTGGAAAGAAGGAAGGAAGAAAAGGAGGGAGGGAGGAGGAAAGGAGAAAGGAAGGAAATGTATGTAAGCTCCTTTTCAGCTTTTGTCTATTATAATGAATGCTGTCTTCCACTTCATGGGCTTGACTTTCTCCTGAATTTGGTAACGGAGATGCCTTTGAGCAGGGCTACTCCATAGACTATTTCAAATATGGAATGGCTGGTGATGAGGAAAAGAAAAATGTTCTAGGCACTAACTTATGCCTTATGAAGAGTAGTCCCTGGGTGGTACAAACATTTGGCTGCTAACCAAAAGGTTGGAGGCCACCAAGAGAGGCCTTGCAAGAAAGCCCTGGCAATCTACTTTAGAAAAATCAGTCATTGGAATTCCCATGGTGCACAGTTCTGTTCTGACACACACATGGGGTCATCACAAGCCAGAATCAACTCGATGACAATTGGTTTATGAAGAAAAACTGAAGGGGGGGGGGGAATGAGTCAAACTGAAGGATCACAAGCTCCAGACAAGCACCCAGAGAAGTATGACTTAGAGGCGGTGCTGGCAGAAGTGGCTGGAAGCAAAGGTTTAATGCTTAACACCTGGACCAAGAGACCGACACTGCCCTTGGGACACATGTAACTGGATGAATTTTGCTTCTTAGAAATCCCACTGCTGGAAAAGAGTTTAATTGAGCTCTTTCACCAGATGAAAGTGACAAGATAGAGGAGGGATATCATATACCAGGGAACACGGGGCCATGGAAAAAGATTAAAATATCTCTCTTCCCCATCCTTGGATGGTAGCAGGGAAGAGTGGCCTCATTTGAAATCAGGTATCATTATACATAATATATAGAGAGGGTTTTAGTCTCTGAGCAGTTGTATAAGTTTTTCTTTATAAGGACTGACCTCTTTGTGAAAACAGGCTTTGGTTGGCCCACTTTGGGTACAAGGCAAAACCCAGGTTTCTGCCTGAAAATAAGCAATCCTGAGTAACAGTAGGAAAGACAGTTGGAGTTGACTGAGGGCTCTTGGGGAAATTGTCAAGAGGACTCTCCCACCTTCATGCTGGCATTGGGTGTAGGAGGGACTATGGAGAGAATGAAAATGCTGATGAAATTTTAAGCTATTGGCCGAATGATCTGTGTGGTAAATGCTCTTCACTATGCTCATTTATGGAGCTCTGGTAGCATGATGCCCAAGGCCTCTGACTGCTAAGAAGGTTGGTGGTTCAAACCCACTAGCCACTATGTGGAAGCAAGAGTGGGGAATCTACTTCCTTAGAATTTACGGCCTCAGAAACCCAGTGGGGGTCACTATGAGTCAGAATCGACTCGGTGGCAGTGGGTTTAGGTTTTTTTGTTTTGGTATTGCTCATTTGAAATCTTTGGTAAAAGTTACATTGCTTAACAATGTTTTATAAATATTTTCTTTGTGGGTGAATGGGTATAAAAGCTGACTCCTGCTTTGAGGTTAGTGTAGATTGGAACCCAGATGACATGTGCAAATGGCCAATATAGACTTATCCTCCATTTAGCCACAGAGTATACCATGTGCTTTTTAAAGGGTCTCTAGAGAAGGGCACCACACAAAGGAACAAGGGAGACTGAGGATGCTGCTGGGCCCAGGGAGCTAAGGTGGCTCAACCTGTATCTTGGCCTGAACTGAAGACAGCTCGTATAGTTTAGAAAGCTCTCCTGCTTCCAGACAGAAACAGTTTCCTTCCCAAGGTCCCTGGTGGAATGTGGAGAGTAGGTCATTAACTTGAGAATAAATCATAACTTTCAAGCCAGAGTGCCTAAATCTCAGTTCTTTTCTGGGTTTACTACCTGCTAGGCTAGACTTTTTCAAAGAGCTCTTGTGGCACAATGGTTAAGTGCTCAGCTGTTAACTAAAATTTGGTTGTTCAGACCCGCCAGTCCGAAATCAACTGAAGCGCTTAACAAGTCTTTCCTAGGGAGTGGTCCAAATGGTTAATGCACTTGGCCGCTGACTGAAAGGCTGGGGTTTGAGTTCACCCAGAAGCTCCTTGGAAGAAACACTTGGAGATCTACTTCTGAAAAATCAGTCTTTGAAACCTTATGAAAGCACAGTCCCACTATGACACCCACAGGGTTGCAATGTACCCATTGATGGCAATTTATCAAAGTCTCCTCCTCACTCCCTCAACCATTTTGCTGCAACACATGAGGTCAAAATGAGCTGGAATTGGCAGTGGGTTTGGTTTTTGGTTTCAAATGTTCTAGCCAGAATAGGTTAAAGGAAGACGAAAACTTTTCCCAAGATTGAGCTAGAGAGAAATCGGGGAAACAGCACTTCCTTGTGGTAGAGTGGTAAACAGCAAGAGATGTTAGTGCTGGATCTACCCAATAAATGATTTCTCAGACATATAAACTTTGGAGTTGTCATCAAGGAAGTTAACATTTTCCTCAGACCATCATTTCTTTAGCCCCACAGAGTAGAAGTGCAGAGAAAATATAGTTCAGGATATCCATGGAACTTTTGATTCATTTTTAATTTGTCCATTACTTCCTTCTTATTGCCTTAATTATATCATATTTTTAAATTGTAGTAGAAAAATATACAGCAAAACATTTTCTAACTCAACATTTTTTACATATGCAATTCAGTGACAGTGATTATGTTCATCATGTTGTACAACCATCACTACTGTGCTCCATGGACAATGTTGGCTTGAAAACTGTATTTTGCATGATGAAAACGTGTGTAAGATGCAGTCATTTTTTGTTTTGTCATTAAAGCCATCAGATATATGTTGAAGTAAGTTTTCACCTGACTGTATGACAGAAAATTGTTTAAATCAACTGATAAATCAAATCATCTCTATAGGCATTATTAATCTACAAGAAAGTAATTATACAGAAAGTCATCATAGCAAGGACACTTAGTCTATACTTCCAAATGGGAAGTAATCATTTTAATGTTGTTCACTGGCAGAATTTTCCACCAATGTTAGTATAGATTATATGCTATTTAAAAATTATAGCAACAAGTTAACTTATTATTATTGTTATTATTTTCTCTCCTTAGTATTTGCTTTAAGAGAAAATTCCTGAAGCAGGTAGGTTTCTGATGCCAGGAAACCATTAAATGTGAGGCTATACTTGGCAATCAGAGTGACTTAGCTCGTGGTAATTGCCATATGTATGATTATAACTTGCATTCCAATTATTTAAATTGAGATATTCTTGATCAGGTTGAACATACTGTGAGTAGAAGATCTCTTTCCCCAAGAAATAAGATGGAGAAAGTCTTTGGAGAATGGCCTCACTGAATTGGTAAGTTAGCTTTCTCCGGATTTTGATGATTTCCCCAGTTCTTGCGTAATTCCTCAGTGCTCTGGCCATTTTCTGGTAAGTCATGGTCTTCCGGTTACCTTTTCTTTTTCCCCAAAGTTCTGCAAGTCTTTCTTTATTTTTTGATATAAACTGAAAGATGCCTTTGGTTTTATCTACCCACTGAATACAAGACGCCATCTCGGGGTTACACAGAGATTCGTGAAGGTATTCAAACAGTCGGAGCTTCTTCCTGCCTACGACAGAGAAAAGCAACGTCAAACTCCTTCATGGCTGGAGAGAGAACATCCTCAGGGTTTGTTGAGAAACTGCAGAATTAAAAGATGCATTGGTCCTAATTTTCCCTCCTATTCACCCTTTTAGGAATGCATTTATGGCATCATTTTCTGGTACTTGAAGACCAGGAGTCTATGTGGCCAAATGAAGTTTCAATTGGACCTTTATTTGTTGGGGAAAAGGTCAAAACCTTTGTACCGTCCTTTATTGGATAGGAGTCCCTGGGTAGTACAGACAGTGTTCTTGGCTGCTAACTTTGAGTCCACCCAGAGACACCTTGCAAGAAAGGTCCTGTGATATACTTCTGGGAAATGAGCCCTTGAAAATCTACAGAACACAGTTCTACCCTGACACAAGTGGGGTTGCCATGAGTTGGAATCATCTCCACAGCAACTGATTTTTTTTCCCCACCCCACCAGAAAAGGGAAGCCTGGGACCTCTTTACTGAGGCTCCCATTTTGTCATGTGGCCTTTGTTTCAGTTGAATCTTGACTACTAGGTTTATGGGAGCTCTGGTGGTGTAGTGTCTAAGGCATTTGACTGCTAACCAGAAGGCTGGTGGTTCAAGCCCACCAGCCACTCCCTGGAAAGAAGACTGGCAATCTACACTTGTAGAGAAATCACCTCAGTCACTGTGAGTCAAATCGACTCAACGGCAGTGAGACACACAGACACAGACTCTAGGCTTATGGTTTCTTCAAAACCATAAATCAAAACTAATTGAACTGCAAACTTTTGTGGTTTTTCAAGAGAAGCTTCAAAAATCATTTCCAGAAAGCAATGGGCTTTACTCAAACCAGTCAAGTCAAATGAGGTAAGCAATGTGAATGCATTTTGTAAATGCAAAACAGGCTGCAAATATAATGCAATATTAATGGAATTAATGACAGCAATTATTTAAAAAGCTAACTGTGTGACTGCCTAATTATTTGAAAAAGAAAATAGAAAAAAAAATGGATAACCAAAAATATTTTCATGCCATTTTTACAATGAAAATAGGCATTGTGATATTTTTCATGACATGAAATGGTGCTATCAGAGTTTTATCTTTTCAAAATAACTAGATACGAAACTGCAAGGATTTGTTGTGGTTTTTGTTTGGTTGGCTGATGAGATTTCTTTAGCTTAAGAGACAGCTGCTTAGAGATGATGGCCCATTTTCTGACTTCCTAGTTGGCCTGTAAGCATTATGCCCTATCAGATCTGTCAGTTGCTAAAAAATCCACAGCCAAGTTCCATTTTCCTCATTGAGAAAGTAGGATAATGGATTCCTAAACTACCACTGTAAAAAAAAAAAAATCTCTGGGGAGTAATACTCTTGCCTCAGTCATTATTTATCCCAAAACCTCAAAGGCTTTCACAAAGATTTTTGCATTATATTATCTTGAGTTTATGTCTTGAAAAATGTAAGGGACTTACCAAAAAACATATCATAAATTAAAGTCATAGCCTTAAACAGAAGTCTTCTGCCTCACATCCAGTGGTTAAGTCAATCTTAATGCATCATTATCTTTTTAAATTTGCTTTTAATTTATAAAAAACACTTTTATTTTTATGTTTTATTTTTGTTTAAATGAAAGTACTACATGTTCATGGTAAGAGACTCAAATGTAATTGAGGTAAAAGTAAAAGTCCCAGTCTATTCTATTTATTTCTAGAAAATGTTTTTCTTATTTTTTTGCATATACAAACATATGCTTATCCTTTAAATATTACAGAAATTGGATCACACTATTTTGCACTTGTTTTAAGTAAAGAAAGTGTTACATAAATTAGAGCAATATAGACATTGGATATAGTGTTAGTTGTCACTGAGTTGATTCCAATTCAAATGCTCCGTACGGTTTTCTTGTTTGTAATCGTAACAGAAGCAGATCACCAGGCCTTTTCATCCAAGGTGCTGCTGGGTAGACCAGAACTGCCAACCTTTAAGTTAGCAGTTGGGCACATACTGTTGGAGCCACCTTGGGTCCTTGAGATTAGATATAGACAGAATACCAAACTGTAATAATGATTCCTTCTGGGGAGAAGGAGAAAGGTACACTTTCATTTATTCCTTACATACTGTTATGGATTAAATTATGTCCCCTAAAAAATAGGTGTTGTCGATTTTAACTTCTATGCCTGTGGTTAAAGACCACTTGGGAATGGGTTGTGTTTACTATGGTAATGAAGCAGGATTAGTGTAGGGTGTATCTTGAGACAGCCTCTTTTGAGAGATGGGGTAAGACAGATGCCAAGAGACATGGAAATCTCTAAGGAACCAGGAAGTAGCAGCTGAAGAGACAAGGACCTTCCCTCAAAGCTGACAGAGAAAGACTTCCCCTCAAGCCTGTGCACTGAATTCGGATTTATAGACTCTTAAACTGTGAGAAACTAAATTTGTTTGTTAAAGTTATCCACTTGTGGTATTTCTGTTATAGCAGTACTAGATAACTAAGACATACCTTGTTTTAATTTAAATAATGAGCATTTTTCCTTTTGAATTACAGAATTAAAAACGGTGATGTTGTTGTTGTTACGTGCTATGGAGTCGGGCCCGACTCATAGTGACCCCTCCTTGGGTTGCTGAGGCAGTATCACTACGGAAGTAGATTGCCCCATATTCCTTCCAAGGAGTGGCTGGTGGGTTTGAACCACCAGCCTTCTGATTAGCAGTCAAGTGCCTTAGGCACTATGCTACCAGAGTTCCTAAAGAAAAGGAAAAAAAAAGGTGATACCACCTCGGAAACCCACGGAGGGGTCACTATGAGTCGGATCCAACTCGACAGCAGTGAGCTTTGCTTTTTATATATACTAGAACATGGATTTATTTGAACTCAATGATACTTTGCAACTCCCCCAAAATCTCTGGGAAGCAAGAGGAAGGTTCACTGAAGGTAAATGACTTACAGCAGCTTTGTCAGTCAGAGTTAAATTATTCTCAAACTTGATAATATCTTGCTAAGACAATTCCAAACTCAAATAAGAAATCTCCTTAAAGCTGCTTTGAGGAAGATCTGGAACTTTTACCTGTACAAGGAGTCATGATGGATCAACATACCTTTTCCTCCCTTTTGCTGGAGAGCAGCAGGTTGTACCAACTGGTTTTCAGTGATATTCTGCAGAGATGGATGAATATTTCCTTCAAGATAGTAGTCCGCAGCATTGTTCTATAAAAATAATGTAGCAGAATGTTAAAGGGGATTTTTTTTATGGCCTCCAATTGGTAGCTAAAGTCTGACGCTGAAGGCAAAATAAAGTACTCAGCGTGGCCATATTCTAAAAGGTACTACCCAACTGCAGCCACAGATCTCCCCAGGACATAACAGCCTCTAGGACTAACCTCCTCCCTCTCCTTTCTCCTAAGCCCATATAAGTAGATGACCAAGGACCGTGGGTAAACTTTGGCTCTTGCACAGAATCTAAGATGTTCTGTGTCCTGTTTTCCCTATGAGAAAGAAAAGCCTACTTCTGCCCTACCCACTAAAAGAGCACCGTGAGAAAAGACCCCCCAAAAGTCATTAACATTGAGATGCTGGCAAGAAGGCAAGGCAGGCTTCCATTCTTGCATTGGATGCCCTTCTGGGCAAGAGGCTGTAAGAGGAGAAAGATGGCAGCCGAGGGAGAGTGGAGCCGAGAGAAGGCACAGATGGAAACAGCCTGCATCCCCACTATTCCACGTGAAAGGATATGTAGGTCCCTGTAGGCTGATTGGAAGTCCTGACAGTGCAGTGGTCAAAGTGCTCAACTGCTAACTGAAAGACTGATAGTTCAAATCCACCAGCAGCTCTGTGGCAGATTAGACCTGGCGATCTGCCCCTGTAATCTTTACAGAGGAGCCCTGGTGGTGCAGTAGTTAACAGGTCAGCGCTTTGAACTCATCAACCTGAGTCTGCTTCCATAAAGATTAACAGCCTAGGAAGTGCTATGAGGCATTTCTACTCTCTATATAGGATCACTATGAGTCAGAATTGGCTGACAGCAATAAGTTTGGTTTTTTGGTAAGTTGGTTAGATGCTGTGGAAGGCGTTGGGCTTGAACAATCTTACTACACCCCACATAAGACGGTTGCCCAGCAGAGTCCCCAACTACAAGAGGCTGTGCAATGTATGCTGGGAGATGGGAGTTGAAGTGCAGGTAGGGTTGCCAGACTTAGCAAATAAAAATATCAGGCATCTGTGTTTTACTTGTTATTATGTGCTGTTGAGTCGGACCCAACTCATAGTGACCCCTCCTTGGGTTTCCAAGGCAGTATCACTACGGAAGTGATACCATCTTCCTTCCAAGGAGTGGCTGGTGGGTTTGAACTGCCAGCCTTCTGGTTAGAAGTCAAATGCCTCAAGCACTATGCTACCACCCCAAATGCATGTGGAAGAGGCTAAACAGGAAACAAAACTGCCTCTTTAAAGAAATGTCTTGTGGAAAGGTCCTGAGAGAATAATATTTACATGCCTGTCTCACACCAAAAACAAAAAACCCATTGCCATCAGGTGAATTCCAATGCTTGGCAACCTCCCAAGTGACAGAAGAGAACTGCTCCATAAGGTTTTCTTGACTGAATTTTTACAGGGTTCCTGGGTGGTGTAAATGGTTTGCACTCAGCTATTAACTGAAAGGTTGGCAGTTCAAGCCCACCAGGGGTACTGTGGAAGAAAGGCCTGGCAATCTGGTTCTATAAAGATTACACCACCACCACCCCCCCCACCCCCCAAAAAAAAAAACCCACTGCAATTCTAACTCCCAGTGACCCTTCAGGACAGAAAAGAATTACTCCATAGGGTTTCCAAGGCTGTTAATCTTTACGGAAGCAGGTTCAGGTTGATGAGTTCAAACTGCTGACCTTCTGGTTAACCACTGCACCACCAGGGCTCCTCCACAAAGAATACAGCCAAGAAAACCCTTTGGAGCTCAGTTCTACTCTGTAACTAGAGGGGTGGCCATGAGTCAGAATTAACTCGAAGGCAATGGGTTTGGTTTTGGGATTCTTTAAACTTTAAGGAAAGGAGCTCTGGGGGTGCTGTGCCTAAGGCAATGGACTGCTAAACAGAAGGTTGGTGGTTCAAATCCACCAGCTGCTCCACAGAAAGAAGATGGGACAATCTAGTTCTGTAAAGATTTACCACTTTGAAAACCCAGTGGGGTCACTATGAGTCAGAACTGAGTTGATGGCAGTGGGTTAATCTTTAAGGAAGCAGAATGCCAGGCCTATCTTGCATGGCACCACTGGGTGGATCCAAATCACCAACCTTAACGAAACTCAAAATAATAAGTAAAAACAGACTAGGCTTATTGGTCTGATAGGGATTGGTGGAACCCCTGAGACTATGGCCCTTAGGTACTCTGCAGGCCTGGAACTGAACTCACCCGTATGGCTTAACTTTCAGCCAAACAGTTACCAGGCCTATAAGGTGAACAACTCCAGGGAGGTATGAACTCCTTAAAACAACCAGATGCAATTAAAAGGGCAGCATTTGCCCAGGGATAAAGCTAAGAAGCCAGGAAGAGATAGGAAGAAGGACAAATGGAAATCGCAAACACAGGAAGGAAGTGGGAAGAGTACTGTTACAAGTGGAAGTTGCAATCAATGTCACAAAACAAAATTTTTGTGAACTGTTGAATGGAAAAAGAATTTGCATAAGCTTTCACCCCATCCCCCATCCCCCCAAAAAACCCAACAACCTTTAGACTAGTAATCTAGTGCAAACCTTCGTGCCATCCAGAAACCTGGCTGTCTCAGAGAGTACCATTAAAGGCTGTCAAGGGTATTCAGGGAAGCTGATTCAAACAGAAGCTTCTTCAAAAAGGGTTAGGGGTGGGGGAGGGGTTAGTATTAGGGTTTGGGCTAGGATTAGAGGTAGGGCTAAGGCTAGTTCTGGGGTTAGGTTTAGGGTTAAGGTTAATTTAAGGGGAGAATTTTGGGTATGACTAGGGCTAGGTTTAAGGTGAGGTCTACTATAAAGTAATGAGAATTTTGCCCTTTTTACCTCACCCTTCTCTCTTCCTTCAACCCCAGAAGAGCCAGATCCAGGAGAGAGATGGGCAAGAGAAGGGAAAGAATGGAACAGCCCGTCCTACTTCAGAGTCCTTTAAACATGTCAAGCCTGGGCCAGAGATGGCAAAAAGACTGGATTGAAGTTGGGTTTGAGATAGAAGTTATAAACTAAATATTTAATAAGCAAACATGACTGGAAAGTTATAGAATCTGCCCAAGATTTCACTGAAGGTAATCATAACATAATGGAAGAAAAAAAGTCTATTTATACTCTACCACATTAAGACTGATGAATTAACTGGATGTATTAAGAAAACAATGTGCAAGAACAAATGAATGGAGAGACAGTGGGGACATCTCCCTTTGCAGAGGGCTGCTGAACTACAAATGAATGGGTGCAGTGCATGCAGCTAGCTCTGAGCTTAGAAAGGGATGGAAGGTCAAGTCAATGTGGGTGGACTGGAGTTGTAGGTGGTCACTTGGACGCTACGTGAAAGGTTAGCAGCTCAAGTGCACCCAGAGGTGCCTCAGAAGCAAAGTCTGGTGACACACTTCTGAAAAATCAGACACTAAAAACCCTATGGAGCTCTGCTCCAACACACCTGGGGTCACCATGAGCAGCAGATTTGACAGCGACATTTCTTTGTTAGTTTGTTTTTTTCTGGATGCACTAAGAAGTAACCTAAGACTCCTAATCATGCTGCCTCTGTCTGGAATAATTCAAACGAATCTGAGGCTGAACGGAGCCCAGTGTTGAAGGGCAGTTTCCTTCTCGACACCGTTGCTGACAATCATCCACTTTGACTGTGGAGTTCCCATCACTACTGACGGCCGTTGGTGGTTTTAGTCAGTAGTCCATAAGCTAGGTTTCAGCTAGCACACCTAATGCGACAGTTGCTATTTGTTACTTAGGGATGGTCCCCAGCAACATGTACTCACAATTACAGCTCTCCAGTTACAGGCAGGTTCTTCTGTAGGCAACACTCCATAGCAGCTGGAGTTTCCTCTGATGTAAGGGCAATGGTTGATGAAAGCCAGGTAACTTTTGTAATCTAATTTAAAAGCAGAGAAAGAAATTTTAAAAGTCAAAACTTATATTTGTTTATATGTAAAACAGCTTGCTGGAATCATTGCTCCCTCTCCTCCTCCTATATTCCCTTAACACTCTACTCTTCCTCCATGGTGTGTATCACATTGTACTGCTGTTACAGATACTTGTGTACATATTCCATTCCCCTTACTAGAGAACAAACTTGTTGCAGACTGAGACCTCCATGATTTCTTTTATCTTGGTATCCTGACAAATAAAAAAATAATAAATTGCTGTCCAGTCTACTCTGACTCATGGAAATAATCCCGTATGTGACAGAGTAGGACTACGCCACAGGGTTTTCTTGGCTGTACCCTTTATGGAAGCAGATCACCAGGCCTTTCTTCCGTGCTTCTGATGCATAGATTCTAACTGCCAACTTTGGGTTAGCAGACAATCACAAACCACTTATGCCACATACAGGGACCTATCCCCTGCAATACCCTATATAAACTCAATAGACAAATTATTTGTATCACATCTAAGCTATATCTCTATTATCTATAAGGACAATGGGTGAGGGTCTCTTGTTCACCAAATAGAATATATTTATTTGTAAGATAAATTAGAACAATTACAAAGCCTTTTCTAAAAAGCTGAAATAACATATCTATTAGATAAATAAATGCCAACCAGATAGTAATAATAACAGATCATTATAAGTCTTTGTATTTCTGTGTGGCATGTCATTGGCTGCACTCTCTGCATTTTTATATGGAGACTTTACATTTAATTAGGCTGGGTAACCTTGGACAATTTTTGCCTGGGTTAGAAATAATGTTAGATGCCTAGGTAAAAACAGTCTTCTCTATTCTGTTCTCTGTTTTCACATGCTTATGTGACCAATGACCCATTTCACATACCATTGGAAGGGGGGACTGGCTTATCTTTACCTGAGGAGTACTGGAGACTGCCTGTTGAATGTTGCCTCAGTACCTCAAAAGCATCTTCAAATGCTTGACCCAGTCTGTCTTGTTCAATACAAGTCTGTTAGAATAATGACAGAATGCTGCAGTTATCAAATTATCAACTAAACTTCATTTTCCTGATATAAAATAATATTTGGTCCATAGAAGGATTTCTCAATTTTGTCTCTGTTGCCATGTTGGATCAGATTAGTCTTTCTCATAGGGACTGTCCTGTACATTGTAGGGTGTGTAGCAGCATTCCTGGCCTCTTCCCACTAGATGCCAGTAGCGTCCATCGTCATAACAATTAAAAATATCTCAGACATCACGAAATGTCCCCTGGGGGCAAAACTGACTCTGATTGAGAACCACTGTCCATAATATTCAGAAAACAGTATTGATTCTATAGTCTATTATTCAACATCCTTGTAGATTTTAGCAAGGGATTGTAGAGTACGGGAGGCCAACTTGGGAAAAGGGGTCAAGGAAATATCCAATCAAACAGAATTTGTGAATCATTACTTAAAAATGAAATGCTCTTGAATTTCAAAAGCATGTCTCTAAGATGTAAAATTGAACTGTTTCCCAAACCATTCCATGCCCTTATTCGGATGATCCAGATGTTTTAACTTGAAAATGGAAGGAGAGTAAAGAGGGTTTAAAACACCACTTACCATGCTTCATTAATAAGCTGATGATTCTGGATTAAAAAAAAAAAGGAATATAATCTTCACTTAATTTGCAACTGAATTAAAAGAGCTTGCTTAAAACTATTTTCTGAAAATATTTTATAAGCCAAAAATACCATATGAATTCTTTGATGAGTATAAATTTTCTTTCTACAAAATTTCCTACAAACAATTCCTTTTGCTTTTCTCCTATTATAAAAAAACATATTTAAAGTTAAAATATCGAGTTAAGAGTTTTAATTTACATTTAATTTTATTGCTTAAACTGCTTACTTAGAAAAGAAGATGGAAGTAACTCAGAGTATATATCAAAACATTAATTATTTCAAAATTCTTAAAGTAGCATGATTCTTTTTACCTTAGCATAACCCCAAACCAAACTATTGCAGTTGAGTCAAATTCCAACCCACAGTGGCCCTATAGGAGAGAGTAGCACTGCCCCACAGGGTTTTCCAGGCTGTGATCTTTATAAGAGCAGATCTCCAGGTCTTTCTCCCATGGGACATGATCATGGGCTCGAACAGCTGACCTTGTGGTTAGCAAGCAAGTACTTAACTACCATGCCACCAGGGCTCTTTCTACTTTAGTGTAGCTCTCCACTCAAGACACTGATTTTTTCTTAAAAAAAAAAGCTTTTTTGGTGTCATAGAGCCCTCTGAGAATCTGATGATGAAAGACATACTTCTTAGCTCATGAAAAGTACATTTATGTCACAAATAAAAATTTAGCCTAAGAAGCTCATGCATGGATGAATCCTAGGTGAAGAACTCGGGCCTATAATTTTCCATCATCTACTTTCGTATCCTTGTAAGTAATTGAGATATTGAGATTTTGTCTCAACTAAACGATTGTGAACACACAGCTTCATATCAAATACTATTTAACTCTATGTTCTATGATTGTTGCTCTCAAGTGGATTCCAACTGGTGGTGACCCACGTGTTTCAGGAGAGCCGCACTCCACAACTACACACAAAGCAGACAAGCAAACCCACAGAAGAAGAAAGTGCACTGTGGGTTCAACATTGCTTATTATTTCATGTAGCATATCCAGCAACTCCTCTTACAAATGTTCTTAACATTTATCCTGCAAACACAATGAATTTACTCTTCAATATTTAATGCCATACAATATAATGATGTAATATAAACAAATGCCAATTATACATACTTGTGATATTTTAATACAATAAACATCTATTCTGCTCATTTAAAGAGAACATGAGAAGAAAATCCATAAATTACTGTTGAGGTTATGGTCCCTAAAGAGTAGTACATATTTTTAAAAGGCCATGTCAATATCTTTCAATTAATTACAACTCAACTCATAAGCACCAAAGCAAATATGTACTTTGAATTATTTAAAATGAAGCTTCTCTCTTAGATTGTGAACCCCTAGTTCCCTACAACTATCGTGACTCTTAAAAGCCGTAAACTCAAAGGGAAGAAAACATTATTGATGACTTCAATGATTTAATATTTTCTCTAACACAACAAGCAGTCTTATCAACCCTTATTAAGTCAAAGGAGAAAATGAATAGTTATTACAATGTATTTGGGAAACATAAGCTGAACACTTACCAGGAAGAACACTTCTGCCCTTTAGGAAGATGCTTCATTAATATCAGACTTGTCAAGGACAGAATTGTTTAAGAACTCACTGGCAGAATTTCATTAAGTAGCTGTTTTTAAGGAAGTGCTACAAAAGGGGATTTTTTTTAAAAGGTACAGTGCCTTCATTAATTTCTATTTCATGATACAGCCAGCAAACGCTAGGAGCTATTATTTTGAAGGGGCATGAAATTCTGTGGGTCAAAAGCAATGTGACAGCCCCACGAAACCCCTGCCCAGTGCAGATTGCAGCTCTTGCACCCTGCATACCTCCATTGGCAATCTCTAACCCGTACAAGTCTTAAGCAGCGCTGGTGTTGAAGCTCAGCTGCTCACCCCAAAGTTCAGCAGTTCGAACCCACAAGTACACTCTGTGGGAGAAAAGACCTGGCAGTCTGCTTCCATAAACATTATAGCCTAGGAAGCCCTCTGAGGTAATTCTATTCTGTCGCAAGGGGTTGCTAGGGATCAGAATCAACTGACAACACACAGCATCAACATCCAATGCTCAGAGTCCTGAGCACTACAACTGCTTTGCTCTCGGCTACTACTGAAAGATTGGCAATTTGAACCCACCCACTGGTGCTGTAGGACCAAACCTAGAAATCTGCTTCTATAAAAATTAAACAAACAAATTGCGGTCAAGTCTACTCGGAGTCATCACGTCCCATGTGTCACAGAGTAGAACTGCTCCATAACGTTTTCTTGGTTGTAATCTTTACAGAAGCAGATTGCCAGGCCTTTCTTCCAGTGTGGCTGGGTGGGTTTGAATCTCCAACTTTTCGGTTCGGAGCTGAGGGCAAACCATTTGCACCACACAAGACCCCAAAACGCTTAGCAGAGGCTTATGGGTTGTGATGTGGTTGAACGTGCCTTGAAGCTACTGCATTTGCAGAGCAAGCCAAGTTCTCTCATTGAACTGGAGGGTTACTTGGGGTAGCTTTGGGTGGCACTGATGGAAATTCGGGGGAGAGGCCTCAAGCCTCCTATCGAGCTACCTCCGGGCACCGTCCCATAAACTCCTGACTCGCACACTCCATGTGTCCGTCCCAGTAAACCCACCTGCCCGGAAGCCCTCCTACCTTACCTGTCCATAAGAGTCCTGCCTAGAATCCACACGCGCCAGGTAGGAGTAATCTTCCCCTCCTCTGGAACACCATCAGCGTCTCCTTTCCTAATTTGTAACCTGCCATTTTAATAGTTGTCACATTTGGCCAGGGGGAATACCGCCTTAGAATTTTTTGTAAATCTTGTGGGTGGGGTGAGTGAGGTGGGGGCTCGTTTTTAAAACAGCCTGTGATTTTCTGTTTTGCATTCTTGGAATGTGAGTTCACCTTTGATACGGGACTATTGTTCTAAACCAACTGCCTTTTTGATCTAATTTGTTATGCAAATGTGAATGAACAGCCCACTTCTGAAATGTAGATGTTATAATAACAAGTATGAAACACTTGCAGTTGCTCATGGTGATTAGTTTCTAATCTGCACCAGCCCTTTCTCTACACCTATTACACACTGTCATATTTCATTCATTTCAATCATTTAACAAGTATATTCTCACTGGGCCCTTACTCTGCCTGAGCCTGTTCTGCACCAGGAGCTACAGCAATGAACAAGTTCTACTGAGAAGATACACAAATGAACAGATAAGCAAACTAGAGAATGCACAGATAGTTGCAAGCATTGAGAAAACAATAGAAGAGAAAGGTGATAGAGTGGATGTGATGGTGATGAATGGCCAGGAAAAATCTCTCAAGAGATGAAAACAAAGGCTAAGAAGGAGTGAGCAAAAGAAAAGCAGAGATGCAAAGACCCAGGAGAAGGGAAAGTTTGGGAAGCAGATGATGGGGACAATCACACAACATTTTGAATGTAGTTAAAGCCACTGAACCCCACACTTAGAAATGGTTAGAACAACAAATTTATGTTATATATATTTTATCAATGGGAGCTCTGGTAGCATAGTGGCTAAAGCACTTGACTGCTAACCAGAAGGCTGGCGGTTCAAACCCACCAGCCACTCCTCGGAAGGAAGGTTGGGCAATCCTACTTCCGTAGTGATACTGCCTCGGAAACCCAAGGAGGGGTCGCTATGAGTCGGGGCCAACTCGACGGCACATAACAACAACAACAACAACAACATATTTTCTCTGGGATCTCTGGTAGCATAGTGCCTAAGGCACTTGACTGCTAACCAGAAGGCTGGTGGTTCAAACCCACCAGCCACTCCTAGGAAGGAAGGTTGGGCAATCTACTTCTGTAGTGATACCGCCTCGGAAACCTAAGGAGGGATGGCTATAAATCAGGTCTGACTTGATGGCAAATAACAGCAACAACATTTTATCAAGGTGCTCTGGTGGCATTGTAGTTAAAGCATTCGGCTGCTAACCAAAAGGTTGTCAGTTTGAACCCCCCAACCACTCCACAGGGGAAAGATGAGGCAGTCTGCTTCTGTGCAGATTTACAGCCTTGGAAACCCTATGGGGGCAGGTCTACTCTGTCCTATGGGAGTTGCTGAGTCGGAATTGACTTGATGATAGTTAGTTTGGTTTGGGGCTTTTTTATATGTTTTATCATAATTTAAAAAAAAAAAAAAAAAAAAGATCCAGGAGATCTCTGGCAGAGGAAACAGCTCCTGCAAAGAACTTGGGCTGGAAATGAGTTCGCCTTATTAATATACAGAAGGAAAGAAAGGCAGTGGGGCTGGGCCAAAAAGAGCAAAAAGAGTGACAGAGAGGCAAGATGGGACACAAAACCCAAACACCAACCTACAGGAACCAAAACTCATGGATGGTGGTGATTACTTGCATAGCACCATTTCACAGATGAGGAATCTAAACCTGAGGTTCAAAGACATGCAGTGATCTTCTAAGGTCCAATTGCTAGAGAGAGGTGGGTTGAGAGCGGGATCATGTGACGTCCATTCTCTCCACCATGTGCTTAGGTCTCCCATCTGAAGTCTAGGTTCCTTTCAGGCAGGTCAGGCAGGGTTCTCAATCCCCAAATGAGGCTCTGCTGTACCCGGTAAGTGCTTGTCATGGGGGGGGGGCGGAGCCAGACTTGCTGCTTTTGTTAGTGAGATGCTCTTATTACCTTTGTTCATGAAACCAACAAGTACATTGAAGGTTTGATACAACCCTCTCTCATAGATGAGAAAAGAGAAACACAGTCTTGGGGTTCTTTGTAGGACTAAGGTGTCAAGATGCTTACAAACCAAAAAGCCACTGCTGTCAAGTCAATTTTGACTCATAGTGACCCTATAGGATAGCACAGAACTGCCTGATAGGGTTTCCAAGGCAGTAATCTTTATGGAAGCAGATGGCCACATCTCTCTCCCACAGAATGGCTGGTGGGTGTGAACTGTCCACCTTTCAACTAGCAGCCTGGTGCTTTAACCACTGCGTCATGAGGGCTCCTTTAAAGATGCATTAAGTAATTTGAAAAGAAGATGAAATGGTTCTTTTAGAATTTTCAGGGCCATAGCTTCTACTTCCTTGCTAATCTGAAGAAAGCCACGAATTCTCTCCCCTGGAAAAAGCCATTAACACATATTTCCAGGCAAACCCTTCTACTAAGGCCCATGGAGACCTTTGCTTCCCTCCACCCCAGAAACAAGCTGAGTAACAAGCTAAGGGCTCTCCAGAAAGGATCCCTGATTGACAGCTTCCCTTTTGCAGAAGTTCATTGTCCTCAGTGGCAATAAAGATTATTTTAGAAAATCTTAAGCAGCAATGTTGTTGTTGTTGTTTGCCATCAAGTCAAACCCGACTCATAGCGACCCCTCCTTGGGTTTCTGAGGCGGTATCACTATGGAAGTAGATTGCCCAACCTTCCTTCCAAGGAGTGGCTGGTAGGTTTGAACCGCCAGCCTTTGGGTTAGTAGTCAAGTGGTAAGTCTCTACAATCATATGGCGCCAATCTTCAGGTAAGAGACTATGTCTTCTGAGAATAGGGAACTTGTCAACCTAGGAAAGGGAGACCAAGTTCCAGTCTTACCATCCTTGCCATTTCTATTTAAATAACTCAATTGTTTGAGGGATTGATGAACTGGATATTAATATTGGTCAGATCCCTGGAAACCTATTTAGGAAATAAAAGAATCACTAGCAACCAGAGAGAAGGTGCTAGAAAATTTCCCATGTTAGAGCAGAAGTCATGGAATAATAAATGATGAGACAAATAGTTCACCTTCACCCTCATTTTACTTGTAGTTTACTTGTAACAGAATATTCTTTGAAGTTCATCTGGACTTGTTTTATGCCCATATGAGGTCTATCTTGATGAATGTTCCATTTGCACCTGAAAGAATCTATATTTTTCAGTTATTGTATGTTATCATTGTTATTAAGTTTGGACTCACAGCAACCCTATATATAACAAAACGAAATAATACCCAGTCCTGCACCACCCTCACAATCGTTGCTATGTTTGAAGCTATTGGTGCAGCTGCTATGTCGATCTGTCTTATTGAGGGTCTTCCCCTTTTCTGTTGATCCTCTACTTTACCAACATGATGCCCTTCTCCAGGGACTGGTCATTGCTAATAACATGTCCAGAGTTCATGGGACGAAGTCTCACCACTCGCACACTAAGGAACATCCTGACTGTACAATTATTGAATGCAGTGCCTTAAAAACATCAACTAGATCTAGTTGATAGATAATGTTGTTAAAATTTTCCATATCCTTACTTCCTTTTTTGTTTGTATTAGTTTTGTCTGCTTGTTTTACCAGTTACTGAAAAGGGGATATTAAAATCTCAAACTATAATTGTGGATTTTTCTGTTTTCTCCTTTAGTTCTGTCCATTTTTGTTTCATGTATTTTGAAGCTCTGTTATTAGATGCACACTCATTTAGAATTGTTATGTATTCTTTATGAATTAATCCTTTTATCATTAAAAAAATTTCTGCCTTTCTTTCTGGCAAACCTCCATGACTTGAAGTGTACTTTCATACCAACTACACTAACTTTCTTAATTTGTCTGTGGCTTTATATTTAAAGTATGTCTCCTTAAGGAACATATAAGTGGATAGTGCTTTTTTTATCCAATTTGAACTCTCTGCCTTTTTAGGGTTTGTTGTTGTTGTTGTTGTCATTATGTGCCGTCTAGTCAGACCCGACTCATAGCAACCCCTCCTTTGGTTTCCAAGGCAGTATCACTATGAAAGTAGATTGCCCCATCTTCCTTCTGAGGAGTGGCTGGTGGGTTTGAACTACCAGCCTTTTGGTTTAGCAGTCAAGTTCTTTAGGCACTACTCTACCAGAGCTCCGTTTT